ACCCTCTGCCTCTATGCCTTTGGACAAAATGAAATCCTTGGATTCATTTAAGGTTCTTCCAATATTCCATCTCCCAATGATAACCTTTCCTAATCTTTATATTTGTTAAGTGCTTGACCCTCAAATTACATGCTCACACACACAAACACTCACACATACACATAATATCTATCTATCCATACATGTACATATATCCCTACATACATGTGTATAGATATGTAGATATATCTACTTCTGTTGCCATGTTGCATCCTCTACTAGAGCTGGTGATCCTTGAGAGCTTTGTCTTAGTATCCTCTGTGCCCAGAATAGAGTCTCATAAAAATTTTTTTTTTGCTTAATTAATTCTTGTTGGATAGAATAGTATTGAAACTAACAAGCTACTCTTCATTAGTTTTAGTTCAATCCAACAAATATTTATCAATAATGTACTCTGATTAAAGTACTGCCTCAGTTGTTGCAAATTTAAAAAAAAAAGTTCCTTCTAAATTATGTTGCAGGGTTGAGGAAAATAGGGAGTGGATCTGGGGGAGGTTGTAGTAGGTACAAGAGGGTAAAAGGATAAAGAGACCAATCAAAACGTATCTGTCCAATGGCCCTGAAGTCATGAGGACCTGAGTTCAAATCTGACCTCAGACCAAACAGTTAATATTTACTAGATGTGTGACCCTGGGCAAGTCACTTATCCCCAATTGCCTAAAAAACAAAACAAAACAAAAACAAAACAAAAACAGAAAGTATCTGTCTTCAGGAGCTTATATTTTTTGAGGAGATGAAAAATTTACGTAGATAAAAATGATCGGAGTCAAGTTTAAAGAGGCTAAAGAAGAGGTCAATTCCAAGTACTCTAGAGAAATTTGAGGTGGATAGGACACTAATAATTATGAAAATTAAGAAAAGGCCCAGCAGATTTTAAGCAATCTGAACCTTAAAAAATATGAGTTATATATATATATATAGATATAGATATAGGTATATATATATATATATATAAGAAATCTACAATGTGAAATAGGATGAGGATTGAGAAATGACCCACCAGATTTAGTAGTTAAAAAATCATTGGTAATTGAGAAACATATATACATATATAATACATATTTTTTTTTCCTGGTTACATTATCAACAAGTTGGAGGACTAGACATGTTCTACATCTACTGATATTTCCTAAAAAAAAAACAAAAAACTTCCAAGTACAAGAAAGAAGAAGCCAAATAAAGTAACTGTCTTATGAAACAGAGAATGCTCATCCTTAATGCCTTGACACATCAAACCAACCTGATGGTCTATCTTTTGGCAATCACCAAACAATTTCCCTTCTGATGCAGTCTCTACCAAACTCCCTGTCTTTGTTATTTTCATAAGTCGTCTTGTAATAAGCAGAGAACCTCAATTCTGTTCAACCATGTGAGGATGAAGGAGAGGAAAAGGAAGGTAGAACCATGCTTTTCTTCTATCTGAATCAGGTCCCAGATTAAGGATCCCCAATTAGGCAGATTTTTTTTTAACAAATGCCTTTAAATGAACATAGCAATAGAAAAGAAAGTTGAAATAATATCTGAGGAATATAGAGACATGTGGATTCCCAATAGAGCATGGAACCACAGAAAGATTCTCCTGAATGTTTCAAGAGAAACTAAAATCTTGACAGAAAAAAAAGTTATAAGGGAACGAATGGCCTGGACAGCAAAAGTAATTAGCACAATAGAAAAAAAAACTTGAATAATCTAGGCTTTCCAAAGTAGAAAGAACAGAAAATTGTAAGTACAAATATACTGAATTTAAAGAAAATCTGGAAAAGAAGCAAAAGCAATCATAATAACAATAAAACACTTGATAAAGACAACTCGAGGATCATGGGCTTCCCAGGAAAATGTGACAAAGCTAAAAACAAACAAACACTAAACATCAGAGTGAAAGAAATAAGACAAGAAAACTGCCAACAATCACTTAATAAAAGTACCAATTTAAAGAATCCACAGATTGTCTTTTGTGTGTGTGTGTGTGTGTGTGTGTGTGTGTGTGTGTGTATACCTCATCTTTTAATCGAGTTAAAGGTCATTTCTACATCAACAACAAACATACATAAGTTTGTGATATTAGATTCTGTTGGGTAATTTTGATTGTGAAAATTATTTGTAAAAATTACTTGCAGTTCTTTTACAATTTTGTTTTATTTGCTGTCCTCCTCTTTTCTTCTGTAAATTCTCCTAGGAAGACTTTGCTTAATTGGGTCTTTTTTTAAATCTTTCATTGAACTAGTTTTCTGCTCTACTGCTTCTTTCTGCTTTATGAATTGATTCTACTCATAAGCTCCCATCACCCTTCTTCCTAAGATTTTACAAACTAGTTTATACTCTATATCTATCTTGCTTTTGAGTATAATCTCTTTCCATTTGACAAGAAAGTTAAGTGCTTGCTCACTTAGGTATATTTTTAAGGTTCTTTTTAGGGTAATTGTTCTAAACTGGTTAAATTGTTATGTTAAATTATTGTAATTGGTGGTGTTGTCCTTTCTTTATGTATTAACCAAAATTCATTATAAATAGCTTATTGAATATGACAGGATTGAACTTTGATTGCATTCTATATTTTTATTTAATTTTTAAACTTTCTTCTAGCCTTGTATATTTTTAAATCTCCGATCTAACGAGCTGATGGTCTGATTAGACATAAACTGCTGATTCAGAAATATTTGAATTTGTAGTGAGAATGTCAGGAATGATTAGACTCAGCTCATCCAGTAATATGTCTACTTTATCAGTGAACAATTATCTCATCTTTAAAGTAGTAACTATCAAATTAAAGTTTATAAAGAGGCTAAAAACAAATTATTAGAATCCTTTGCTCTCTTTTATATCAACCTGCCACCAACATGGCAAGAGTAGAAGGAAGTCACATTGGGCCGAACATCATTTTGCATTTTCCTTTGTTTTAAGGGGTACTGTAGTTAGGGAATATATGACTGAATGATAAGTCAACTGGTGATGAGACTATCCAATAACATATTACTACATGTATATATGTGTATAATGAGTATGTATATATCTATGCATATATAAAACTTTTTACCCATGTCACAATTATGTATGCATGTGTTTCTATGCATATGTACATGTATATTTGTGTATGCATACACATATGTACAGTTCATTTTTTCTTGTCTTTCTTTTCTAATTTCCTATTATCTAGGTTTAAGACTCCATAGAATTATGACATGCTATAGCTTTTTCCAATGAATAAAACCTCCGTGACTTGGTATAGTGGACTCAGTGCTTTCATACTACAGAGCTCTCATTAAGAACACAGGTACTTCCTGCTTGTATTATATTTATATATTGATGGGCTGTTATTAAAGAGGAAAGGTAATAATGAGAACAAATGAAGAAAGAAGTAAAGAGGGAATCAATACTAACCAGGGAATTGTATTTTGGAGTTTTTACCCT